TATGAAACATTCAACAAATTGCTTAATGTTAAGGAGTCTCTTGAAAAATATTTATTTGTGTGTATATAAACAGACCCTATGGAAAATCTGCCCTCTCCATTAAGATGGACGGATGTATCCATTAAGATGGATATAGTAGAGTCCACTATAAAATCCATTGATAGCCAACTGCCATTATAGTCTTATCTGAAATTCTGGCCACCTTGTTCTTTGGAACTTGCCAGTTCTTGAATTTAATCTTCAACTTTTTGTTATACCATATATAGTTCATTATTTGTCTATGTCAGTTTTTAGTACTTTATTCTCAATAGGAGAAGATATTTTACTTTGAAAAAAAGATATAAAAGTGAAATGTGAAATTTACACATTTATGAGTGACTGGTTTCTATTGTCTCTATATTCCATTCCTTTCCTTATTTCTATATCATTATACTGATGTCTATTACTATAACAGTTACTATATTCTTTTATATTATTATTGCAATATTTCCTCTATATTATAACTTTTCTATTATTATTATTATTACAATATTTCCTCTACTATTACTATACTACATTCTGTAGTATTACTATTATAATGCGATATTGTCTTCTTAGAAATCCTGTTCTGCCTTCCATCTTAATTCCTCTCAGACACACACACACACACACACACACACACACACACACACACACAGTTTTCTTCTCATGGTTAGCATGATAATACTTGCATTTTTTCCAAATTGGGCTTTGCTTTGCCATGCCTCTATACTTCTTTTTCCACTGTACCATCCACTCCCTTTGAACGAAAAAAGCCTTCTTTTATTCAGCTGCTTTTCTCTGTATGTCAGTGGCTGATGTCAGGCCCAAGCCCAAAGACAACACAGTGAACTCCAATTGAATTTAATTCTTTATTCATTTACTCTCTTACTAAAGCAATAAGTTTCTAACCTAATAGAACATAACAGATATTCTAGGATGTGGCTACCCAGAACCTCTTCTTCCCTTCCTTATCCACTTCAGGGTGGGGTGGGCTTTTATTTTGGGATTTTCTCCCTGGGAAACTCTTGTTGAGAGTCCTCCTTCTCCTTCTCCAGGTATTATTTTTATTTAATTATTTTGTATCTCACTTTTATTATTTTTATACATAACTCAAGACAGTGAACGTATTTAATACACCTTCCTCTTCTATTTTTCCCACAACAACAACCCTGTAAGATGGGTTGGATTGAGAGAGAATAACTGACCCAGAGTCACCCAGCTGACTTTCATGCCTAATGCGGTACTAGAATTCACGGTTTCCTGGTTTCTAGGCTGATTCGTTAGCCACTAAGGAATCACAGGAGTCTATCACAGCTATACAGCTTCCAAAATGCACATCTCCTCCTGTCTCTTCCCACACCTGTTTAAAAGTGCAGATGTATAGGCAGCTCTGCCATGCTGATGTTAGGAAAAGGCTGAAATGAAAACACCACCATAGGTGTCTGCACTTTTCCTAAGTACCTTTTCTTCCAAGTCACATTTCTTTCATCTAGAAATATCTGGTCATTACGTTCTCAAGTTGATAAATAATTAATCTTGAATAAATACAAATATTTCTATATATTTAACATTTTACCAGTGTTGAAGCTGTTCCATCACTGTCATTAAAGAGACTTTAAGTTGAACTGTTGTTAATAAAATACCATCAGCAAATATTCTCAATTTGTGTTTTTTCACAACTCCTAGAATTCAATTTCCTTAGCATATTTGGAATACCAAGTGTTCTAGTAAGTACTATTTTATAGTAAAATCAAAAGGCAAAAGAGAGGGGACTTCCTTATCTTCTCTTCAATATAGCGCATTGCTGCAAATTAAGATCATTCATTACATTTTTATTAATTGTTAAATTATGCTTCAGAAACTCTTCAATAGATGGTCCCATCACAATGGTGCCACAGATGACAACTGGGAACAGGTTCTTTTCTGCAAGAACACTCCAGTTATGAAAATTTCCTCCCAACAGGGACTTACCAAACACCGCTCCACTGCTCCACTTCAAGTACCAAATTAAATACTATACAAAGCCCTCCCCCAATTGTCAAATACAACATCCTAGGTTCATGGGAAGGACTCAATGTATATGAAAGCCAACACCAGCACTTTACCTGGAACAGCTTACATCCTATGATGATACCTTTAGCACCATCAAACAACAATATCTGCCTATCCCAGATCATTGGGAAGGACCTGATAGATAGGTAAAAATGCCAAATCCAATCTAAGCATCTGGCTGATTTACAACCAACAACAACAATAATATATTAAATTTAAATACTATCTTTCTATAGCAAGCATTAACACAGACCAAATTTTTATTAATTCATATAGTCTTACTTTTACCATGAAATAGAAACTCCATCAGATAATAGGAGAGATGTATCAAGCTGATGTTTGATTCTCTAAAAAGATAACTTGTCCTATGCTTATGTTGAACACTTCAATATCACCCCATTGACTTCCCAAAACAAGGTAAGTTGGTCATTTCTGACATTCCGTTGTTTTTCACATTATTCTTTTTCTACTACCTCACCCTGTCTGCTTGCCTAGGTTTTGAAGATGGAGATATGTGCTAATATATGTTATACAATGCCAGAACTATCTCACATTCAGAGCAGAGACAGATCATTACCCATATTTTCAACTCTATTGTAATCAAGGTTTGAGGAATACAATTTAATAAATAACCCTTGAAAGATCTGTGCTCATGGTAATTATGAGTACATTGTCTACAACAAATGTTATAATTCGCAAATGATCTATTACACTGGGCATGCAAAACTGCAAAATGAAAAAAGGAGTAAAGTGAAAATAATTAGTCTTGAATTATTTAATATTTGGATTTGGAAGCAGCAACAAGCAATCAAAACCTGGAAATATGCTGCAAAAGGTTTCCTCTAAAAATGGTGCCAATATCACATTGTGTAGAAATTGCTTTAACCTCACTTGAATCTCTGAGTAATGATTAGCAGAGACAAATGAAGGACATCAGCCTCCAGGTGCAACCTTGCTATACATCAGAATCACCCTCAAATTACTAATTAGAAGCCAAACCATAGTGTGCAAACCTCCTCCTAAGCAAAGCTATTGAATGAATAAAATGTGCTCTAGAGCTACTCTTGACAGATTGCATGCATAGCACTGTGTATTATTGTGAAACATTGTGCATTTCTGTCAACCCACCACATATTACAGGTGTAAGTCATATGCATATAGGGAAGCAAATTTGCATAGTTGCATCCTTATGCTAAATGATTTATCTTTGAACATGAAGTGCTCATCAAATGCTTTTTTTAAAAGAAATGTTGCAATAGTTAGAAATATATGAGCATTCCTTACAGACATAAGGCCAACATCTGGATGAAGCATATTTACATGGAAGCCTTGTAGAGGCAAGAAATAGTTCTTTTGATTTGCTGGTGCTGATGTCACTTTATGTACACTTTAATTTTTTAGAAAGGGCAAAAATAGATTTGGGATAATAAATATGAAACTAGAGTTTCTCTTCCTTCTAAAGGAAACAGTAAATAGTTCCCCTGGAAACTTCCCAATAAATATTTTCTCTCTAGCTTCCCATCACTCTGAGAAGCAGAGATCCTATAAAAAATGTTATGTCCTGGGCTGGCAGGCACAGGCTGCAGCGATTGGCCCGGGCAGACCATGTGGATGCCCGGGACAAGAAAGGCTGCTCCCAGCCTTGCGTGTACACGCACGGCAGGAAAAGATCCCTTGCAATGATTGGCCAGCAAGGTATTGTGCAGGGGGGCTCTAAAAGGGGGCCGCACCATTTTAAAACCTGTTCTGTTGGTGTTTGCAATAAAGGAGAACTGTTGGAACTCGTTGCTTTGTCTCAATGCCTCTTTTCCTGAAACAGAACAAAAAATATAGGGCAACATATATGTGCCAGTAACCCACCATGCACACAAAAATACTTACCAATAGTTTTTAATTATGTACGGTGCTAAATTTGTCTGATGACACCCAGAACAATCCTAATAAGCATTTGAACTAATAGATTAGTGCCAGGTACAATGTTTCAGTTTCAGACTCATCCAAATTCAGCAAAAAACTGAAAATTACTGGTACAGGACAGTGGTTCAATTGTCAACAAAATGCACCAGAAAATTGTCTGAGCGGAATATCACCCACTTTTTCAGCATTGAAAATAATGATTAGAAACTCATTTCTTTGTCTAAGAGTCAGGGCAAAGCAAGAACAATATTCTGAGTTCAGAGCAGAGTTTGAGGAATGGCCATCCCTGTGGCTCTTTCCAAGAAAGGAATTCCCAAGGTGGAATTCCCTAGTGGATGAACAAGCACCCAAGTGATCCTATCCCCACAAGCCTAACTAAATCCCTTTGGGAAGGAAATGTATGAACCTTGCATGGGCAAGCAATCTGAATAACATTACTTCAAGCACTTATGAATTCTCTGAAATACAAGAGAAACCGATAAAGGGGTGAATCAGTATTTTTAAACTGCATCATAAGCAGTGGTTAGAACTGTAATTTCCTTAAAAAAAAATCAAAGAGTGCTGATTTCCCATTTATTTTCCCTGCCAGAGGTCAGTTGATCAGATGGCGGGTGCTTTATAACAAAGCCAAAAACGCTGAGTTAGGGACAGTGGCTACATAATTTTGTAACAACAGAAATAAAATGAAGCCGCAGGGGCAAACAACAACAACTTTCAGAAAAGAATATTGTCTTGAGTGGTTTAGCAATACAGAAATATTTTATACTCAGGCTACATCTTGGCTCTCTTCCCAGAATTGCTACCTATGTAAGATACTACTAACACTTACATCTTGGATGGCATTTTCATTTCAATGCCCTTTACCAACACTGATTAATTCACACTATAACCTTTGTGAGACAGGTTAACAATTACTTCCATTCTTAGGGGAGAAAGAAAGCTTTCATTGCAATCTTAGATTCTATTCAGAAGTAAGTCCTTTGGAGTGTAATGAGACAGAGGACATTTCCAGTCAAGAGCCTGTACTTGCAGTCTTCCTTTTGAATCAAGCTGCAGTTCTGCAGAGCTTATGGACAGTCCATTTCTCCAATTGCTGGAGACTTTGCCACACTCGTTTCTTGCCTTCTGGGTCTCAGCTTTCCCAGAAGAACTTTCAAGAGAAAAAAAAATGGCTGATTAGGCTTTGCATCTCCTTCTGCCGAGACTATTTTGCATCTGACCTGACAAGGGCACCAACATTATTTCCCTTTTGCATAAAGTTTAGGAATTTTTTGTTTTTTCCAGGACCTGTGGAAGCTTGGAACATTGTAATTCTTGCTCCTTGTTCTCAAGCTTGTAAAGTTTGCAGAGAAGACACTTCATAATCATCTTCACTTCCTTTACCGAAAGTGGAGAGTAAAATTGCAGAGCTGATGAAATATGCTTACACCCAAATAATACATACAAGAATGGTGATATTTGGTGCATGAAGAAGCCTTGGTGATTATCCAGTAAAAACTCCAGAAAATTCATAGAAGAATTTTAGAACATCTCTGATTGATAGCTATCCAACCTCTGCTTCAATGGAAAATCAAAGCCTTTGAAAAACTCCAGTCACCATATTCTGAGGTAGACCACTCCATTTTTAACTACTCTTATCTCAGTCTTAATTTTTGTTTTCTTTTAAATGAATTCTTATTTTAGGTTTTATTAGTAAAGCACAGCAGCTATCTCAATAAACAGTGTTATAGTATATACAGATACACGTTGGTATTCTGATTTACAGTACCATATTTTGGCTCTTGCAAAACTGATCAGCACGTAGCATAGAAGAAAGAACTAAACAATGTATAAACAGCTATTCAGATAGATAAACTATACAGATAAATTAGTAAGCAGACTATTGAGCTCACAGGTATACATATGAAGATCCTTCATGCCTGTAGGAATTTCAGTCTCACTGGGCTCTAAAATGGTATAAGAAGCCTATATATCTTAATATCATTATCATATTGGGCTGATTGTATGAATCAAAGAACAAAGGAAAATCAAGAATGAAGGAAAGAATATGCACTAACTGTAATTTTCATTGCTGAGAGTGGATTTACAGTTATAATAGCATAACAAAAATGGAACCGTTTGGAATAGGAATAGCAGATATGACACCTTCAGTGCTAAAAAATACCTTCTGTTACCAAGAAAATAGTGAGGCAAAGATGAACCACTGTAAAATTTACATATATGTTACTATCCAAGCATATCTAAAATTGGAGTTGCTGCTCTAGGGATCATTCCTTTTTAATACGAAATTCCCCTTTCAGTATTCAGAAGGAATCTGTGACATGGCTGAACAATATTTAAATAAATATTTAAGTTAACAAAAATAAGAAGAATAAAACATGTGGGGTAATAACAGTACAAATGAATTCTCCTACTGTTTGACAATACATTATTTAAAAAATGGCAGATGTGATTGACCAGGACTAAGGCTTTTTCAATTAATATATTTAAAAGACATAAGCTTTGCTGAGCTGAAGTCTTTTTAAAAAATCTGTTAATTGGAAAAGGTGCTAACAGACTCCTCACTTTTTGCTACCATAGACTAACATGGGTCTATTTCTAAAGGACTTAGGAGAAAGTGCTCCCTCTTCATGGCAAATCTTGCTGATGTGTCAGTTCTTCTAACAGAAACAGATATGTTTTAATTGGCTCCTTCAAATTCTGATTTCAAAACATCTAAAATGTCTATTATTTTTGTTTTGGGATAAATTAAATATTTGATGACATTGTTGAAAGCACTGACAATGCTTTCCTATGATTAGAATATAGGCCTATCTGTCACTCAGAGATATTAACACCACTTGATTTTTTTATATATATATTTCTAGGCTATTTTCCCTTAAGGTTTAAGTGGTATGCGTAGAATTTCTCATTGTTTTATCCTCACAACCATCCTGTATATAGATATAAATAGATTATATTGGCCAAATTCACCCAGCAAATAATTGAGATGGGATTTGAAGTCCAATATCTTAACCAAGTGTTTCTCAACCTTGGCCACATTAAGCTGTGTGGACTTCAACTTCCAGAATTCCTCAGCAAGCATGGTGACTAGGGAATTCTGGGAATCGAGGTCCACATATCTTAAAGTAGCTTAACTACTACATCACTTTATTTCTCAATGGCAGTTCTGTTCCTACAAATGTGCTATATATCTAATGGAATCAGAACTCTGGATGTCTTCTTTGCTTCCCTTGGTGCATGACCTATATGACTTCCATATTCCAGATGCCTTCATATCAAGAATGGGTAAGAATATAATTCTGTGTATATAAACTCACTTTGAAGTCAGTATCCTAGACGTATTAGTGTGGGCACTTACAGAAGTTTGCAAGGAAAAAGGAAAGCATTTCTGTTATGTCCCGAGCCTTGCAAACGGCTCGGGGCGTTTGCAGGCGGTCCCGGGCAGGTGCAAAGCTGCCCGGGACCAGACAGGCTGTCGCCAGCGCCATGCGCATGCGCGGGTTCTGGCGCGGGAAAAGTATCGCATTGACCCGGGAAATGTCTATATAAGAAGCTGAGAGGTTTTGGGAGCTGCTGAAGCCATCTACTTGTAAGCTGAACACAGAATAAAGAAAACTAAGAACTACAACTGCTTCTCGTGTCTTACATTTCCGCGAAGGACTCAACACTGGCGACGAAGGTGGGATGCCTTACATCGCCTGGAAAGGAAGAAGTGTAAGCTTACCCAAGTGAGTCCTGAGCGGCAGAACGGTGTCGACTCGCCAATCCAGTGCGCATTCGGGGGTAGGCTGGCTGATAGACCCATCTCCTGAAGATGGCAAAGGTTGGAAGGCTTTCGGAGTTCGACGTCTCACATCCAGAGCGGTGGAGTCCTACGTAGCCAGGGTGGAGAACTACTTCAAGGCACACCAAGTGAGGGAAGAGAGCTTGAAGGCTGCCACCCTGCTTTGTGTTTGCGGTCAAGACGCCTTCGAAATCGCAGAAAACCTTGCAGCACCTGTTCCAGTAGAGTCTGTCAGCTACGCAGATCTGAAGAAGCTACTGAAGGAGCACTTCCAGCCCAAGATGTCCGTCATTGCATGGCACCACACCTTCGAGCAGATGGATCAACGATCCGGTGAGTCGGCCAAAGAATACATCGCCGCATTAAGGAAGGCCGCCAAGCACTGCGAGTTCAAGGACCTCGAAGAACGACTGAGGGACCGATTCGTGTGCGGGTTAAGGCATCGAGATCTACAACAGAGACTTTTCGCTAAAGAAGAAGTGTCCTTCCAAGATGCCTTAAGAGAAGTCACCGCAGAAGAAGCAGCAGGCGGCGCCGTCAAGAACATGCGGCCGATCAGAAACAGTCCACAGGTTGCATCCGTGCACCAGGAAGACGTCCAGGGGAACTCCGAGGAGGATCCGGACGAGGAAGTCGACCGTCTCCACCCCACGAAGGAAGGAAATCAGAAGGGAAGCTCTTCAGCTCCACTCCAGTGCATCGGCTGTGGAGGTCGCCACAGGAGAACCGACTGCAAGTTCCGCTCCGCTACCTGCCGGGCATGCGGCAAACAAGGACACATGGCAGCTGTGTGTCTGGGCCGACGAAAGGTACAACCTCAGGAAGAACCGTGCCTGAAAGGTACCAGATTCCCCAGCCAGAATAGGGTAGGGTTTTGCGCTTCGCGAAGAAGCATCCTTAGGACAGGCACACACAAGCCCATTAAGAAAAAGCTGTCACTCAAGGTGAAGCTACAAGGGATTCCATTAACTATGGAACTAGACACAGGGTCTGCCCTTTCAATCATCTCCTTGCATACATTTAGGAAGATTTGTTCCGGAAGTGGAACTCAGGCCAAGTTAAGGCCTTCTGACATTGTGTTAACAGATTTTCAAAATTAAAGAGTGTGTGTTAAGGGGGAGGCCACCCTTAACGTGCAATACAAGAATTTTGAAGGTCCACTAGACTTATTAGTAGTAGGGGGTGAACGAACGAGTCTCATAGGCCCTGGGGATACACATCACAGGACTCAACAGCTTACAAAAACTCGACCTACAGGAAGTCTGCAAAGAATTTGCAGATGTTTTCAGCGCCCAGCTGGGCACATTCAAAGGACCCCCTGTGTCCTTAAAGCTAGACCCCACTGTCACTCCCATTAGAATTAAAGCAAGAAGGGTCCCTTTTGCTTTAAAGAGTAAAATTGACACTGAGTTAGACAAACTGATCCAACAGGGAATTCTAGAACCTGTTGATTCCAGTCCTTGGGAGACCCCCATTGTCACGCCTCTAAAGGAAAATGGGGACATTCGCATTTGTGCTGACTACAAATGCACTCTTAATAAGGCATTGCAGCAACATGCCTATCCTGTTCCTGTGGTCAGTCATATTCTGGCCTCCCTCACGGGGGGGCGCGTTTTTGCAAAGCTTGACCTAGCTCAAGCGTATCGACAGCTGCCTGTTGATGATGCTGCTGCTATAGCTCAGACTATTGTGACCCACAGGGGAGCCTTTAAGGTAAAAAGGCTACAGTTTGGAGTGAATGTCGCTCCTGGGATTTTCCAAAGCATAATGGAAAACACACTACGGGGCATACCGGGGGTTTGCCCCTACTTTGATGATGTCTTAATTGCAGGAGACTCCACACACATTCTAGCTGAAGGCTAAGGGCTGTTCTGTTAAGATTCAGGAAAACAGGCCTCAAGCTCAAAAAAGACAAATGCAAGATTGGGGGGCCTTCTACTGAATTTCTGGGGTTCAAAATTGACGCTGCTGGAATTCACCCTGCTGAATCCAAACTAACTGCTATTTTAGAAGCACCTAGGCCAAAGTCTAAGGCCGAACGTCAGGCCTTCCTGGGCCTCCTGAATTTCTACAATTCCTTCCTTCCACATAAAGCCAGTGTGGCTGAGCCTCTTCACAGGCTACTAGACAAGCAAGCAGTGTGGCACTGGTCACAAACACATGAGGCTTGTTTTAACAAAGTCAAGGCCTTGCTCACTTCTAACAGTGTACTTGCACATTTCAACGAGTCCCTTCCTGTGTGCATCGCTTGTGATGCGTCCCCTTACGGGGTAGGAGCTGTCCTGAGTCACCTCAGGTCTGATGGAACTCAGGTTCCTGTTGCATATTACTCCAGAACATTGTCTTCTGCTGAGCGCCACTACGCTCAGATAGACAGGGAGGCTCTGGCTGTTGTTGCTGGAATTAAAAAATTCCATGATTTTCTATATGGCAGGCATTTCATGGTCTTCACTGACCATAAGCCTCTGCTGGGACTGTTTACCACACGTAAGCAGACTCCCCAGATCATTTCCCCCAGAATGCTTAGGTGGTCTATTTTTTTGTCTGCATATGATTTTTCTTTACTCCACAAGCCTGGGAAAGAAATGGGCCTTGCTGATGGCCTCAGTAGATTGCCTCTGCCAGTAGTAGAAGCTGACCCTGCGCCAGCTGTCAACATTCTATCAATCCAAGCCTTGCCCGAGCTCCCTATTAGTGCCAGGGATGTTGCCGCTGAAACAGGTACAGATCACACACTTTCACGTGTCCGTTCCTGGGTTTTGTCTGGTTGGCCTGAGCACTGCCCTAGTCCTGAGTTTCAGAGTTTCTGGTCCAAAAGGAA